TTTCTTCAATTTATCGGTATTTTACATATGATGGATTTGGCCGATACTTGATGAAAATCCATAACTAACGTATTTGAAAAACACTTCATTGTGATATTTTTACTAAACGATTTCATAAAAACGCAACACGTGTTTCGCCATACAGTGGCTTCTTCGTGCGTGTCTTTACTAACTTTATTCTACTTATTCAATGCTCAATATACCTTGTTTTACAATTTGAAGTACCTGCATTTCAAGTACCTGATTTTTAGCTAAGTTTGTAATGAATGAAAATACCTGAGCTTGTGTCCCAGTTACCACAAACCATCTTACACGGATATTATCATACATAATTCCTCCACATAACCTTACCAGCATAAAGTTGCTGCATAGTATGCTTCACAGACTATGGAATATTCCACTGCCTGAGAGTAATTTTCAGAGATAGCTGAGTTTGATCAAACAAATCGCGGTTGACAACGGTTGTAAAGTAGATATTATAGAATTCATTATTTCCAAAAAACTACAAAAGTAAGCCATGGATCTGGTCTACCCAAATTCAGGATGCGATAACGTCAGTTATAGGACTTTTTCATATTTGGGTGAACCAATCAATAATATTGCCCGTTTTTTGAAGAAAGAATGCATGAACGTAGCTTATAGAACGAATAATAGTCTAAGTAAATTTATTAAAAATAATAAAGACAACATTTTGGTGTCGGATAGTTCAGGAGTATATAAGCTGACTTGTAGCTCTTGCCCAAAACTGTATACTGGCCAAACAGGGAGAATATTTTCCCAAAGAATTGAAGAGCGTAGAACTAGTTTTGTAAATAGAGACACCAATTTGAGAAGAGTTTGAAACCCAAACCCCTAGAATGTTCAGAAATAAATAGATTCAGGAATTCGGGTAATTTACTGAATGACCAATTAGAATTGAATAACTCTCCGTTACTGAATATTTTTCCAAACGTGGAAACTGGGACATAAGCTCAGGTAATTTGCTTCATTACAAACTTAGGTAAAATGTAGGTACTTCAAATTGTAAAGAAAGTATATTAAGCATTGAATATGTAGACTATAGTTAGTAAAGACACGCCCGAAGAAGCCATTGTATGGCGAAACACATATTACATTTTTGTAAAATCGTTTAGTGAAAATCTCACAATAAAGTGTTTTTTGAATACGTTTGTTTTTTATTTTTTTTTTTATTTATTTCTCACAGGCTGTTTGTTTTTTATTAACCTTGTACGAAAATCACCACGCTATACCATTCCGACGGTGCAAAATACTTTCCATACCTCCCTCAAACATATCATTTTTCAAAATTCGAAAAACTATTTCTTCCAGTATGGCAGTTGTTAAATGGTGGTTAGTTTATGATATAGTGAGACAAAATTATTATATTCGCCACACTTGTAGTGCAGTACAGTGGTGCCGTACTTGAAAAGTGTTATTTTTAACCGTTTTTTAAACACGCCTATAGAAGCCGTAGAACGTTTTTCTACAGTATGGCATAAATGAAATCAGATTGTTCCAATACGATTATGAGTTTCAAAAAATGCGGCATACTGTGACATTGGTACGAAAGACCGTGATACGCAAGTTGCGATGTAAAAATTAAATAAATAAAACGACTTCTTACTTTATGGCATTTTAATTTTCGGAAAGTTCAAAAAAGTATGATTCAGGAAAATCATCCCATACTTATGATGATGTCCAAAAGTGGTGCCATACCCGGATTGATTTTCAGCGACGTATTTCAGCTCCAATGTGTACGTCCAAGATTTTATTTTGTTAACTCAAAGTATAAATGTTCAAAACTATACAAAAAAAAATCACTGAAAACCTGAAAATTGTACTGAGATACATGTGGAGAAAGAACAGGTAGTTACAGTAAACGAATACGGAATGAATGAAAAATATTATCCGACGTAACGCGTTATTTAATTAAAGAAGAATAACCCTACATACAACTTCGAAATTAGGTATTTACCTTACTCACATGTCCAACTTTCAAAACAAAACTGTAAGAAATTGTTGCATACAATTTTACAATTATTCAATTACATTGTACGTATATCACCCCCTCTACAGGTATTGTAGTATAACAAGTATGTTTCTAATCATAAAAACAACTACTAGACCAAATCATGAGATGAAGGAAATAGTTTTTCGAATTCTGAAAAATGACATGTTGAGGGTGGGTGGGACAGTAGCCTAGTGCGCTGACGTGGGTGGTTTGCTCTACTCACTCAAACCTTCGCTGTGCGAACCGGTGGTTTGAACCGCAAGGCCGGACGATCGATTCTCACTTCTTATCGTCTAACCCATGTTATGAATCACACGTTAGAAGGTGAGACCTCGTTAGCCCTCAGCTCGCACAAGTTTCGAATATTGAAAGTTGTCGTTCATGGGGGGCGACAGCTGGTTAACAGAAAAACAGATAAACAGATTTGACAGGGGGTATTGCGGGAACTTTGGTCCGTTGGAATGGTATGACGTGGCGATTTTCGTGCAATAATAAAGAACAATTGTTTGAAAAACATCAGCCTGTGAGAAGTAAATTTTAAAAAAATATAAAAAAAAAACATTTTCAACAAAATATGGCGGTCCTAAACATCCACCAGAGAAATACGGCATAGAGCAAGTGCGGGTTTTTTTTTGTTAAAATACCGATAAATTGAAGTAATTTCGTGAAGGAAATTGTTTGACACCTTCGAATTTTCGAGCAGTTTCAATTAATTATCGTACAATTGCGTCCCGAGCACCACCGGTAAGAACGTCATTTTCCTTTCACTCATTACGTATGTGAACTTCCTAGAAGTGCCATACTTTGAGAAATTACTTGCCAACATATTCCAACATCTCCCGGTCTATAATATTAATGACAGGTTTCGTGGGATGTAATTTGAGTCGAATCTACAATGATCGAATAAACACACGTTTAACAGACACCTGTTTGTTACAGAGTTCATAGATTTGTGCGGGATTTGTGAAACAAAGTGTTCATGTGTAATTTTTATGTATCGTAAGCTCATTATTACAGTCACTCATTTGCATTCAGTATTTATCATTCTACACTAGTTTCATATATTTTGACGTAGATGTTTGCCAGTCACTTTGCCAATCATTTAAGAAACATGAAAAGCTATCAAACAAATCACTACAACTCTAAATGCGCAAACCCTCTTCAACGGTCCTGAAACAAATCGATACAAATCAAAAGGGCATAACTCTTCCGAAAAGTCCTCACAAATAGATATGTTCGGGGAGGTTTCAACTCGAAATATCAAAACTTTTTGATAGGTTCTCAAACAAGTCGGTTCTCGAAATGCTAAAACTCACTTATACAATCCTAACAAATCGTTACAACTAGTTGAAACTAGAATTCAAAAATAATACATCAGCGCTGTTTCGACCCGCCATATGTCTCATCGGTGATGCTAGGCTGATCTCATCAGTGGTGCTAGGTTGGCCATGAATTCACTGCTGGTCTCAACTCTCATAGAAAGACAAGTCTTAAAAAGTAAATGCAATTTTCCTTTACGAAGACAGCATTTACGGTTTCGACTGAAAAGCCAAATATCTTTTATTACAACCTTCACTGCAAGGCGATTGTTAAATCTAGAACCCGAAAACAACGCATTCGTGATTCAATACCAGGCAGCGCTGTTTCGATCCGCCCTAAGTCTCATCAGTGAAATTTCATCGCCTCTACTTACACAGACCTGTCCTTCAAGGACGTTTGATTCGAGCAGTGCATTTGTGGTTCAGCTTAGCATCAGTAATGATACCTATGTCGGGCGAAATAGCACTGCCTGGTGTTGAATGACGAATATTTGTTTCTTGGGTTCTAGTTTCAACTAGCTACCTTGTAGTGTACACTTCAGTGAAAGACAGAGAACGAATTTCTTTGGCAGTAGATATCAAAGCTTAACTTAACTTCACAACTTTTTAGAAGCATTGTTCACCTCACATATTCGAGGATTCAGTCTTCAGCCTCTTGTCGATTTTATATAACATGGAAACTTGAATCGATACAAATGGAAATGACAAAACCCTTTCGAAATCGACACATTCAGTATGTATATGTGAAATTGAAATGTATCTAGTTTATCTTTATTCGGTTGAAAAAATATTTTCTTAAGTCTCTACTACTTGGAAGGTGATGCAGCATATCATAATAATTTCATTTGTGACACATGAATGTGAATTCTCGTGGAGTTTCATTCGAAAACTGCTGTTTTCAGTCACAAACTCAAAATAAATTGTTGTTACTCCTGGTTAATACTCATTGGGACACAACAAAACTACTCGTATTTTTCAGAATAACAAATGATTCATGAAAATTGAATAGAATACACCCACTTCCATTCTCCAATAATAATAATGTTGGAATGTATGCAACGAAATTAACAATCACACAAAACGATCACCACCTTATCATAAATCTCACTTTACTTTTTAATTTTCACTTTTTCACTCCAATGAATCACTGGCTGACATATCGGTTGGTTTCATTATAGGGATCTTATTCACTTACATGGAGGAAAAACGTATCCTCAATAGTTGTGAGTTTTCAATGAAGAGGTCAACAAAAAAACGATTCATTTTACACGTGAATGTGAACAAATTCTCGTGGAGTTTCATTCTAAAACTCCTATTTTGAGTCACAAACGTAAAATACATTCTTGTTACTCCTGGTTAATACTCATTGGGACACAACAAAACTACCTACTCGTATTTTTCAGAATAAGATTCATGAAAATTGACTAGAATACACCCACTTTCATTCTCCAACAATGATAATGTTGTAATGTACGCAACGAAATAAACAATAACACAAAACAATAACCGCCTTATCATAAATCTCACTTTAGTTTTTAATTTTCACTTTTTCACTCCAATAAATCGATGCCTGACAAATCGGTTGGTCTTATTATAGAGATCTTATTCACTAACTTGTTGAAAAATCTTGTTGAAACTTGTTTTCAATGAAGAGGTCAACAAAAAAACGATTCATTTTACACGTGAATGTGAACATATATTTCAAATATAATAGTATTCAACAGATTTTCAGTAGCCTACTTTGGTTTTATATCCACCTTGGTGATGTCCATCTGAATTACTACCGTGGTGATGTCCGTCTGAATTACCACCGTGGTGATGTCCATCTAAATGACCACCTTGATGTCCAGCCTCATGCCCTCCATGATGACTATCGTGATGTCCACCCAGCTGTCCTGCGTGATTTCCCTGTTCAATACCGCCATGACTGTGACCTCCTCCTTGACCATATCCTCCGGGTACTGCTACGGCACATGCGATGAGGACTGCCAAAGTCAAAATCTGAAAAAAGTAAATACATTTCAATTTCCAACCAGAAGACCTTATAAACAGAAAAACTTTGTTATACAAAATAGTCATTGAACTATTGTCGCAAACAAGAATCAGATAGATGGGTTTGGTGTACCAAGTAATTCAATTAACCGTTACTCCAATGATTAGGCCAGTTTCTTGGGCTTATTACAAACTGTTTTTGAGCTATCAAAAAAAATTGACATGGACAAATATTGTATAGATCTAATTGAAATAGTATATAATATTACAAACCAAGAAACGGTAATTTCAAAGCAAGTAGAAAAAACTATAGATCTGCCATAGGATACAGGGTGTAGAAAAACAAAATTCTGAATGAAAATCATTCTTATGAAGATGACCAATGATATACGCATAGAAACAAAACATTGTTGATGATAATAAATGCAAGGATAATAATACATTTATGGAAATATCACGTGTCTGCAAAATGAGAGTGACAAAAAATCGCCTTTTTTAAAAAAGCAGAAGCAGAATAATATACCATCGGACTCTTTTACAAAAATATTCAAAAGTTTGATAAAAATAAGTTAGTAAATTTTCCAGTTTCTGTGTTATGTGTTATGTATCTCGTGGAATTTAGAAAAAAAAAGTGAATTGAATTTTTGAAATGGCTTCTTTTATATTGCAAAAACCTTCGATTAAAATATATTTGTGGTACAAAATACTGTTTTCTGTTTTATGACAAAAAGAATTTCATGATATAGAAGTAGTCGACACAAAGAAATTGCTGAATTCAACTATTGAAGAGTTTTTACGTGATACATATGTATATGTGTGTTTAAAATATGTTTTCCGTTGACCAGCTGTCACCCCCATAGGAATTATAAATAGTTCCAAACATTGAAACATTTTCAAAAACAAGTCCAAACATAAGAAATAAAATAAAAATTCCAGAGCTCACTACAAAAAGCTAAATGTTTGTTTGGTATTCATCTTCTGTTCTGATCCCCTGTTGTTTGAAAAAATTTCACAGACGTTGCAGATCAAATATCCGTGAAATAGTAATCTATTTCAATCACTTCTCAATAAAAATCAGAGCTGGAGTTGGAAAACAGATACCTAGATGTTGAATAGATTTTTGTTATAATTTTCGGTTATCTTCTATTTACTTTTATAGGAATATTATTCTTCTGAACTCAAATTATCAAAAATCAATCTTAATATGTCATTTCAAACATGACTTTCAAGATATTCAAAGAATCAAAATATTACTCCATGAGTTCTATAGTAACGAAATTATTTCAAGTAAATGGCAAAATTGACGTGAAAAAATATTTCAATAAATTTTAAAACTAGATGTATATTATTCTTCACATGCTTCAGATGCTTTCAAAACTTGTTACTTGCACTCAACATTTTCTATCCGAAAAACAAGAGGACCATATATTTTTTCAATTCATGACTGTCAAAGTATATCATTCGTTTCTTTTTCTTAGTCTTTGTTAAACTCAATGGACGTTCTCTTCATAACAATACTGATATAATCAATTTGGTGAATCGTTGACAAATTGGCGTTTACATCATTCATAAAATTTATCAGTTTCTATTGTCCTTTTTGAAATTGAGCTTAGAGTGTATTTAATACTTACGAATAGTTTTGACATATTGAACTAGGGTATTGCAGTTTCAAATTCAAACTAACTCTGAATAGTTCGTACAAGGTTTCCCACTTATTTATAGTTATAGCTAAGAATGATTCTTCAACTTTTTTGTTTATGATCCTGAGAATTTATTAATTCCTGTTTATGAAAATTGGTCATCAATGTAAAAAACAAGATTAGCTTTTAAATACGCCAGTGTTGTTTGAAGAATAACTGATTATGAAATAGAACCGAATAATTATAATTCAACCTTGGGGCGAGAACCAATTTGACGGAAACGAAATATAACTCTCATATCATTACTTGATTCGATTTCTGTGAAAATAATATTTGATATGACAATCACTCCTTGGTATCTTTTCGGATTTAGATTAGAAATTATTTTGGCCCTCAGTTTTTTCAGTAGTTACTCGACTTTTGGTATAGTACACCAGCCAAATTTGAATAAATGATTGGATGAATTCGAAAGAGTGAAATAATGCTTTAATAATGATAATAATACTAACAATGGACGTCGTCTATATCATTTTCGCTCTCAACATCTATATACTTATAAATGCAAAGATCACTCACTCAACACTCATTCATCTCTGTTTCTCCATATTGGTAAGTCCTAGGAAGCTGAAATTTGTTATATAGATGCTCCTCAGGTCTTAAATCTTTCCAAAATCTGTTTTTCCGTTAATCAGCTGTCGCCCCCATACGAACGACAACTCTCAGAAGTTGAGAAACTTGTGCGAACTAAGGACTAACGAGGTCTTACTTTTTAACGTGTGATTCCTAACACGGTTAAATGCATACCAAGAAAGTATTTGCAAATATTCTAACTGGAAAGCCTCAGTGAGAGTGAAAGGAGCGCGTTTACATTTGAAAATATCTTTTTTATCACTGTTTCTTCGTACTGCTATATTTTCGAATGCTGAAATTTTGTATGTGCAATAAGGAATGATTTTAAAATATTTCAACTGAGGCGCCAGCCGTGGGATGAAAAGTGCGTTCATAAAATAAAGTTACCTTTTCATCACTTTTTCTCCATACCGGTATATTTTCGGAAATTGAAATTTTGTATGTATGTTCGTTTTATACTGTTAATGTGCAATGGCAGGAGATTTTTAAATATTGAAACTGGGGCGCCAGCCGCGGGGAAAAAAGGCGCGTCCATAAAACAAAATTATCTCTTCATCATTTTCATTACTGTTTCTCCATGCCCTTACATTTTTGGTAGGTGAATGTATCTTTAGTGTTAGCGGTGAACCCGTGCGAAGCCGGGGTGGTCGCTAGTATACAACTGAATACAACATTCATGAAAGAAGAAAAGAAAACAAGAGGCGTAGTTCAATTGTTGTAGACACGGTTCATTGTCAATATTTATATTCATACCTGACCACATATCACGCTGGTTCGACTTCGAAAATGAGAGTGATATGTCGAAGTCGATATGTCAACATATTGCATGAGATTTTTATCATAAGCATTCTGTTACTTATTCAGTGGAATATTTTCCATTAAGTCCTAAGTATGAAGTCTATCATAATTTCTTGCAATTTACCATGCTCTGTGGTGTGAAACACATCCGGAGCTTGCCGCCTTTTCCGCCCAAAATCTTAAGGATTACGTATCCCATCTTCAGCGGCAGGGCTATATAGCTACTTTCCAGCCTGCTAACGAAGTGGTAGAAGTGACAGCTCTACCAGCCGTGGCACGGCTGGAGAGGAGACTCGCATCATGCCACCAATGGAGTTAATCAGAACACGAAGGGCGCTCCACAGAATTAGGCCCCTGAAGCCACAAGAACTGGCTTGTTTGGATGCGGAGGTTCATAGTGTTCTAACGGAAGTACCTGACATCTGGCAAATCAACACCACCGTGTATAGCGTCTTCTAATCGCTTTCCGAATTGGAAGGACGAAATCCCGGCCTTGCGATCCGGAAGATTGAACGGCGTGTACACAAGATGGAGGCTAACATCACGTCGGCGATACAACACGCGTCTCGTATCTAATCTGTGATGGATGACAGAGCGGCCAACAGGCCTTTGACGTCCACAGTGCGGCGAATAGCCGCCAAACTACGACGTTTCCATCACACTTTAAGTCAAGGCGTGTTGCTGACCACCAAACAACACTGCCTTGATAGGCTCATTCCAAGAGCCTCCACGTGTTATGGATAATCCGCTGACCTCTGATCAGGGGGAATCCTTCTGGAAGGATGTCTATGAAAACCCGCATCTGGCCACCGCCATCTGGCCACCGCCATCTGGCCAGAGTTTTCAACTCATGGCTGGACGGACAGCAGCCGATTCCGGATTGGTTTATCGAGGTTGTGGATCGTTCTCATCCCCAAAAGCAGAGATTTGTCGATTCCTTAGAATTACAGACCATTAAAATGCTTGAATTCGTGTTATAAGTTGTTTACAGGCATCTTACACACACGAATACTCGCCGCAGTTGACCGAGTGTTCGAACGGATTTATGTATAACGCAGGACTCGATACAATATAGGCGTAACATATGGCCTGAACCAATGAACGTAAGGCATTTGATACAATATCGTATGAGCTCATCTTGCATTTGCTCAGATGCCTTGCGGTACCCGACAAAATAGTGAGATGCATTGAACAACTGATACCACTCTGGCGAACCCGCTTCACCATAACATCTGGTCAAGCCGGTGTCCAAACAGGGTGGATCACTTTCAGAAGGCGTGTATTTCAGGGCGATTCCCTCAGTTCCCTTCTCTTCTTCATCTCACTATTGCCATTATCTGTTGTGCTCAGAAATACTCGAGGGTTTAACTGTGGCATCCCCGGAAAATGGAGGCACAAGGTCACCCATTTGTTTTATATGGATTATCTTGAATTTTATGCCTCTGAAAAGAAGGATCTCCATCAGTCCTTGAGGGTGGTGGAAGAGTACATGCATGCTATCGGTATGGAATTTGGGATAGATAAATGTTCAATGGTCCATCTCAAAAGAGGACGATGCGGGAACTACTGGAGAGGATGTGCAGCTCGTAGATGGAAGCATCCTACACCATTTGAATGCCGGAGCAATGGAACAATGCCACTCACAAGAGGTAACAGCAGTGAAGAACTCTCTCCGAGGCAAGTATCAGCACAAACTTCATTGGAACTGTCGAGGAAAAACAAAGCAACAAATACGCTTGCCGATTCAATCTTACCCTACTCGTTTAGAGTAGTGAAGTGGACTCGGGAAGAGCTCGACGTAAAGAACCGAAAAATTATGCATCTCTATTGGAGTTTGCATCCCAAATCGTCCGTTCCACGGTTGTACTCCCCCTGACACCAGGGAGGCCATGGACTTTTGAACTTTGGAATGTCTACATGACAGAATGGTACTGAATACCTATACCTGGATACCTATAGAGTCGTCAGGAGTTCGGATCTCCTTCTCTACATGGTCCATGACGAGGTGACCACAACTCTGTCACCGACAGAGTGACTTTCGTTTTCCTCAGGTCCAGTGGGCTGAAGTCGGAAACTGAGGGGTTCATCATGGCTTGCCAGGATGGTGTATTCAACACCTTAGTCTACCGCAGTCGCGTGATGGGTATAGAGGTTTCCGATACAAGGTGCAGGGCCTGCTGCGAGGCGTCCGAGACCCTAATGGACTTGCTATCAGCATGTGTAGCATATGCGGTCTCGGCCTATATCCATCGACATAACGCGGCCCTAAGAGTGATATATCATCATCTAAGGCCCTCTTACGATATTGACGAGACACCGGTGTTGCCCTACGCTCCGGGGGATATTGAATCCGTTGTGGGGAACGAGAAGTGCCGAATTTATTGGAACTATTCGTTCCCCACCCTCAGGCTCATACGAGCTAATGTAGTCCTTCTTGACAATCTTCGACGCTCAATTTATTTGATCTTCTGACGATTTATGTAATGTGTGGACGGGCGTTGTCGTGGAGCAGGATCTGACCCCTTTTGTACAATAATCATGTTTTTTGTTGGGTTTTCGCCTTTGGGAAATGCCTGGGTGGCTCATCGGTGTTCAGCCACTGTCCTGAACATCTCCCTTTGATGTAGAGGATCCACTTTTCATTACACGTGACGATCCGATCCAAAAAAAAAATATCGTTTTGGTTGCGCAAAAGCAAAGAAGAATCAATCTCAAAACGTGACAATTTCTGTCGTTCGTTCAAATAGTAGGGCACCCACTTTTTGAGCCTTTTTACCATTCCAATACGTTTCAAAAACCGCATGAGAGCTGACGCCCACTTCTTTCGCCATCCCACGCATCGTTTGTGATGAGTCCATCTCCACCAAGGTCCTCAAATCCTCGTCCTGTAGGTCTACCATTTCGAGGCCCATCTACGAGGCTGAAATTTCTGGACAGAAATTTCGCAAACCAACGACGAACAGTACGTTTATTACCATTATGATTGGTAGTGCGCTGTTATTTTAGCGCACTGGTTCAATTTGAATTTGTAGAGGAGAATTGGCAAAAAAATCATACAATACTCCGAAATAATAATTCTATTCGAAAAAAACTAAAAACAGCATTTTTTGTTTTCTCCGTATAACTCGAGAAGGGCGAGAGTATTGTTCCCGATGACAGTTACCTTTTTCCCATTAAATCGGCTTCGTATCTGTTATGGTTTAGAATATAGCAATGTTACCACATGATAAAAGAAACGGCCTGTATAGAGTACAAAATTATACGACACACTGGAATGAATATTTATTGGGATATGGAGCTACTAAAACACATGCTATTGAAACGAACAAAATATTTGAAATAATCTGATTGTAAAATTTCCGTTGTGATGCGACTAAAATATAAAAAACAATTTCCATAAACAAATAAACATTATTCTTATTCATACCAACAGAAAATTTGTCCATAATATACGATATCAGCCCTTGTGGTGTATTGTCAAGCGCATGTCCTGAAATGAAAATATGCATACATATACCTAAAACAATTCGGATAAAAGTCGTATTGTATCATAATATATTGGTACAGGAGCTTGAAGAAACATCCTCTCGGTTATCTCAAAGGTGCGATTTCGTTTCATCCTTTTCATGAAAGAGGACGTGTGCTTCTCCTTTCGCTAGGT